ATTGGTCAAGCCTAATTTACCCATGGTAAATCTGTGCCAACTATCATCAATCACTTAGTTCTCCTTCATGTGCCCAGAATCATGTTCCAAGCAGACTTGCTCCATGTTTTTCCCAGGTACCAAAGGGGGATTAACCAACCTGTAGCTTCCCTGACTGACCTTCAGAAATCTTTTGAAGACGGGTGCAACATTTGTTTTCTTCCAAACATATGGAAACCCCCCTAATCTCTATGAAAGAACATCAGCCAACTCTCTCAACACCTCTGGATTTATCATGACAGGTCCTATGGGCCTGTATGGCTTGAGTTCTCTTCTTATAGGCTTTGACACCCCTTGCAAATCTTGAAATCCAGCTCTAGTTCCTCCTGCTTATACACTAGGCTGCACGGATTTATATACACACATATTTGACATAGCCTCCCTGCTACTGTTTTAGTATTCCTGAGGTCTCTCTTGTTGCCATCACACTGCACAACTTTTCTTTCCACCGCATCCACCATTTCTTCACTTGACCGAGTCACATTCCCTGCCCTCATTGTTCCTGGTTTAAAGCTTTCCTTACCACATCAGCTGCTCTTTCCTCCCTTTGTCAGGTGGATCCTGTCTCTACCCAACAGTCCTCAATACTCAGTGTCCTGCTGTCATAAAAATAAAATTCCTGTCAATAACATCAGCTGTATAACCAGGTATTAATCCATAGAACCAATATGCTTCCCCCCAGCCTCTTCTCTCCACCATCGGGACTAAGAATATCGCCTGGATCATCAGGTATGAGCAAAAGCTCCTGCCAGAGCACTAAGCCTCTTAATTAGCTAAGACCTTTGATAGGAACTGGGAGCAGCACGGTGAAAACTATTCGGGGGTGAAGACACCATATGAGCACAAAACAGATTATTCTGCTGCTGAGTGTGGCAGCGCACACCTCCCCCAGCAGATCCAACAGTGCAGCACAGGGGACAAGGTGTCTGGTTTGGCAGGAGACACACATGCTACAGGTCACACACCCCAGATACCTCGGCCCACCTCGGCCCACCTCGGCCCACCTCGGCCCATAATCCTGCCTAGGAGATCCCCTCAACCAAGGGGAGCTGACCACAAGCCCTTATCTGACTTGGGTATAAATGGAGTCCTGCTGGAGGTCACTTGGAGCCCTCCTTGGTGCAGCAGGTCTGCAACACGAGGCCCTTGCTCATGGCAGGAGATGCCTACCACAGCTACTCCTCAGATGAGTGAACATGCTCTATGGCTCCCCTCTTTGCCCTTTAAACCCTAAAAGCTTTTAGGTGACTCCTGTAGTAGTACTGCCCACATTTGGTCTGACATTGTCCTGTAGCTAAGTGTGTGTCAACTCTGGTGGTATCTGCACTTGTATGTGAACTGTATGGACACTTGTTTCTTGCAGTAAGTTGTAGTTAGTTGTGGTTTCATCTCTGGTAGTTAGTGGGTTTGTTCCATGACACTCTGGTACCGGAAACTGCACATACAAAACTGCTTGTACTTAGAGTTAGGTAGAAGAATAGAGACCAAGTCAGATAATTTTCTCTAGGAAGCATAAGAAGTAGATGAAGTGTAAGCATCATGTACCAAATAATCAGAAGGCAGTCTCAGGGTACAATGCTGCTGACATGTAGGTGACCGTACAGTAATACCACATAGGGCCCAGACTGCTCAGGTAACACCGTTGGAAATACTAAATCTAAGTAGGGATGTAGAACCAACGAAAAAAAAAAGTCATTTGGGATGGGTTGTTTATTTGGGAGGAGGGTGGGCAAAGACACAGCGGCACAGGTGTGGCAAAACAGCAGGTTCAGTAAAACAAACAAAAAAAGGAGTAAGTTTACTATACCTTGTTCAAGCACCAGTCCCCACTGTAGAAGTACAGTTGCCTGTAGACAGTAATGAAGGTTACCTCCAGACTTCGGTCTGCAGCTAACAAAGCATACCCAAGTTTATACACACAATCCTCTGCGGACATTAAGGGTAATTAAAAGCAATGTCAGAGGCTTCCTTGCATCCTTAAGTTTGCTTTTATACAATAGATGACCATTTGTTAGTTTCTAAGAGCTCTTCTTCATGTTCTACACTCGTACTTCATTTCCTGTCTTTTTACTGAAAACTTGAAAAATCTTCACACGCTAGGTCAGCACTGAAACCTAAACTTCTGCCTGAAAGCCAATGCATCTATGCTTCCTGGCCATACAAACATCCAATAACTAGCCATTCCAAGACTCCTGAACCACCCATCTCGTATTTGATTCAGTGCAGGATAGATACAACCCACTACACAGCTGCCTGCCTTAGAGGGCAAGGATTGCTCTCTGGCACCATCCCACAGAGCACACGCTGATTAGCTTCAGAGTTTTTCCAATGCATTCACCAATCATAAGGGTCACAGAAAGCTTCAATGACTTAGGCAAGGCAAGTTACACACAAGTTAAGCATTTTATTATCCATAACAAAAAGGCAGAACACTGAATACATCAGCATATACCAGAACATTTTTAATTGCAAACAAATGCAACTGGTTCTCTATCACTTTCATGGATTAAAAATAAAATAAAATTTAAAAAAAAATCAAAGTAATCAATCACACAGTACAAACAAATACAGAATACATGTAGGAAATACAACCAAATGATAAACAGAAGTTTTCAATTAAACTTTACCAAATCAAACCAGTGTTTTTGCTCTGAATTATGCTTGCCCAACAACAAATAGGAAAATACATCTCAACTTCCAAACCCTAAATAAATGAAAATTTCTTTCAACTAGGTTACATGTATAGCCTCTCCTACTTACAAAAAAATGCCGTTACAACAGAGGTTGGGGGCAGAGGAAGTACACAACCAAGAAATAAAAAAATCCATAGCCAGACATCCCAGCAACTTAGTCTACAGTCATAACATAACCCTGTAACGCACCTCTGAAAATCCGTATCAGTGGCAACAAAAGACATTCTCTGTATTTACAGGTGCAGCATAATCCTGAAAATACTTTCAATTATCTAGTTTCTAGCTTTAGTACTTTGGGTATCAGATCTTCAGAGAAAATAATAATTATTACCACAAGCTAGACTCATGAGTTGAGAATAAAACACATATTCTTGCAAATACATCTAACATTCGCAATTTGTGGAACATAAAAATAGCACACAGCTTATTTTTTCTTAATCGTCCATCATTTCTAGGCTCCATTTTGTAACAACAGGTAAGCAGTGTTCTACAACTACACACAAAGCACAACATACTTTACATTAACAAAAAAAAATCTAACTTAAAATATGGAAGTTGTGTATTAATACTACACTAACAGGACCGGGATTTAGGGTACGCAAATGATCTTTAAAAAGAAGAGACACCCAAGCACCTGCACTGAATGATAGCCAGATGTTAGAATCAGAGTTAGTTAACCCTTAAGTGTCAGTG